AGCCCCTGAAGTGGACGCCTCCGTGGACGGCCTGGGGGCCGCACAGACCCAGCCGGGCAGCAGCCTCTGAAGTGGACACCTCCGTGGACGGCCTGGGGGCCGCACAGACCCAGCCGGGCAGCAGCCCCTGAAGTGGAAGCCTCCGTGGACGACCTGGGGGCCGCACAGGCACAGCTGGGCAGCAGCTGGGAGTGACCCGCACAGCGCGGGCATGGGGGGGGCGTCGTGGTCCCCAGGAGCTCGATGGGCCCCGAGCCCCAAACACAAAGACAAGACTGAGGGCAGCCTGAGGACAGCGATGGGCCACCAACAGGAAGGGCCCCGGACCACAGAGCCAGAGATGCTGGAGGGGTCGCCGGAGGAGCAAGGAGGCCGGGGTGACGGGGCCGATAGGGGCCCCGGGGGGTGAGAGAAGCAGGAGTGAGAACGTGCTGTGTGCGCTCTGTGGGCACACGTGCGCCTGTCACCAGGGGGAAGGGACGGGCCGCGTGGACTCACTGTTTCCAGAACGTTTCCTTTCTTCTCTAAGAGGCTGGGGTTTGGAAAAACTTAGAAGATGTGGGAGCTCTCGGTGGGGAAGCACGGCTGCTCACCGCCCACGCTTCCCCAGACGCTGGACCGGGTCGTCGCGGAAAGGGCAGCTGCCGCCAGCATTTGGTTAAATGGCCGATTAGCGGGGGAGGTGCTTTCACCGTCCTTCAGGGGCAGCCCCTCTGACCCTACCGCCGCTCAGAACCACAGCCGCACCCCGGGGCCACACCCCTCCGCAGGCCGGCCCCTCTGCGTCAGGGCCGTCCTCCTGTCCCCTCTGGGGAGGCTGAGGATTCACGCCCCGGAATGATGAACCGCGGGTGCGTGTGCGATGTGAGGGCAGCCCCAGGCACACACGTCCACGCAGACGCACATAAGAGCGGCCTGGCCCCGGCCCCACAAGCACACTTCACCTTGAAGAGGCAGCTCCTCCCCAGACTCCTCCCCATCCCCAGCCCCTGGGGAGCTGACTTGGAGCCTTCCAGAACCTGTCTGGCCTGGAGTGCATTTCTTCTCGACTCCCCACCCGGTCCTGCCTCCCCAGCTGCACCCCGGGCCCCCAGCAGGGCTGTCGGGTGGTGCTGAGTAGGGTGGGGTTGCCACTCGCCCTCGTTAGTGGCTGCTGGGGGCTCACAGGGGGCCCCTGTGGGGTCCGGCACCTGAGCCGGGCCAGGTGGGTCTGCGGCTCTCTGTGAGCCTGATACTGGGTGTCCAGATTCTGCAGGGACCTGTGTGGGGTTGAGGTTAGGCAACTGTTCTGAAACAGCCCGGTTTGTGCCAAAGGAGCTGGGGTTCACTGCCCCCAGAGCCATAAACACCATGAACCTGCTGGCGGAGATGCAGCCCTGCCGCCCTCTGTGCTCCCCGAGGAAAGCCACTCAGCCCACGGTGGCCACGGCTGGTGTTCCACAGCGGCCCGTTCGGGGTAATAACTGTGCACGGCGCCTAACCACGCGCTCCGGGAGCGACGGACAGGGCAGCAGCCAGGAGGGGAGGGCGCAGTGGGGCTTCCAGGGACCCAAACACAGCTGTGGGCCGTGATGGGTGGACGTGTCCCCAGGGTGTGACAACGATGGCGGCCAGATGCCGCCCGTGGTGCCCTTTTCTCTTGGGGGCCCAAGGCCCACGGGGTGTGGCTCTGAGGAGTCCCTCGGGGGCCGAGTGGCTCCGTCAATTTCCCGCCCAAGGTCTCTGCTGGAGTCTCCTGTGTGCAAACAGGGGTCCGCTTCCCGTCTTCCTCTGTGAGGCCGACAGTCTTACGCTTAGCTGGCACTACCTTAGCGTGCAGGCACTGCAGAGGTGATGCCCAAGCCCGCGTGGCTGCACCATGTGGTTTCCGCAGAGCAAGGTGGCCCTGCGTGGCCGGTCAGCATGTGCAGTGTGGAGTCCAGGAGGGAGCTGGTCCAGAGGGGCCTGCAGGGCGCCCACGGAGCTTTCTGGCCACACCGCCTGGGTGACATGCAGGGCAGGTGGAGGCGGGAGCCACGGGTTTCCCAGGAGTGACGGGGGTCCCCACTGCAGACAGACCCCTCCCCCAGGGCCTCTCATGCCCCCAGGACAGCGAAGCAGAGTAACTTTATTTTCTGTTTTTTTCCTTTAGCTCTTGGAATTCGACAAAGAGCTGTCTGTCTTCAAGGACAGGCTGTGTGAACTGGACATCTCGTTCCCCCCCAGGTGAGGAGCGCCCTCACGGGCCAGCAGTTGCCCGCCCTCCTGTTCCCGCATCTGTGCACCGCCCGCTGCCTCCACAGCCTGGAGGCCTGCCACAGAGCGCAGGGCTCTGCCCCTGGTTCCACCGTGGCCTCCAGTTTGCCTGCTCTGAGTTCTGGAACTCTGGGACCGTGGTGGGGTGGGTTTTGGCTCTGTCTGTCTGTTTTTGGCTTTCTCGGGTACCTCAGCTTTTGCTGTGTCTGACTCTGACGTTTACAGAGTTCAGACCTGCAGCAAAAACAACACGTTCCTTTCTGACCAGCCCCAGAGGTGCTGCCCCAGACAGGCCCGGGCCACAGAGGGGCATGAGGTAAGGAGAGGGCCCAGGATGCTAGGCAGGTGCGGGGCCCGTGGGACTCAGCCTACCTTCGGCCCCCTCCGGCCTGCCGCCTGGAAGGACTTGGACACCCCGTCACGCCCGGCTTTCAGGGCCTCCTGGACTTTTCCCCTCGTCATCCACACAGCAAATACACTGCAGGCTGGCCGAGCGGTCCTGGCCCCTGTCCTGGTGGTGGCCAGCTCTCCGGCCGCCCCGTGGCAGGGGATGTGGGGCTCAGTGCAGAGCCTGGGGCGTCCAGGCCGTGGCCAGTCGTACACTCGGGATAGTCCCTGGAGATGGTCCATCAGCGGACGGGGCTCCTGACCAGCGGCTGGGGGTCCTTTCCCACAGAGCTGTCTGTTACTGTTCTCCGCGGAGTGATGGAACCTGGCTCCTGATGGACTGCGACCTAGTGCTGTGCGCCGCTTTGCTGGACGAGGTGCTGACGTTTCAGACCTCTGCAGACCCTTCAGTTCTTGTTCTTCGCAGCTGCCTGCGGTCACGTGTAGCACGTTCACCCCAGACAACTACCCAAGTGACCGGGTGGGGGGTCGGAGGCAGAGTGCGCAGCCAGGCCAGGCCAGTGGGCCCAGGGGCTGCCCCACCACAGAGACCCTGCAGGCCCCACCCCTGCATCCGGGGTGATACCCGCCAATCCCGCCAGGCCACATGAAGGCCTTTAACGCCATGTGGTGTTACCAGGAACTGGTGACAAAAAGACTTCAAGTTTGTGCTTAGACTAATCTTGGTGGACAGAGACCACAAGGCTGGCCTGGCACGAGCTGTGCCCACCTGGCTCCTCTCTGTAACCAGCCGGCGTTGAGCTGACCCAGAGCTGACCATGGGACTGGTTGTTCCTGGTTGACGGGGTGATGCGTTGTCAGCTGCCACCCCCGGTGCCCAGGGCCCTCAGAGAGACAAGCGGCGCTGACCACCCTCCGGCCTCCGGCCCAGGGTCCGCTCACAGCTCCCACTCCAAGCCCAGCTTCGGGCTGACGGCAGGAGCCCCAGGGTGGCCCAGCGTGAACAGCTCAAAGGTGACCACTGACGCCTCTGCCCTCTGCATCCTAGCCAGCTGGGAATTTTCTAACTTACAATTCAATTCTGAGCGAAATTGTCATTGGTTTTAAAATAAGGACATCAAAGTGGGAAGACGGGGTGGTTTAGCTGCCTTTTTCGCTAATGTGGCCGTGGTGGCATCTCCATGGCCCTGGACCCAAGTCCCCCTGGGACGGTGCCCGCTCCCTTCTGGGCGGCTGCTCCACAGTGCTCCCTCCCACTGCCCAGAACAGCCCATGTGAAGCCTCCCTTCCCTGGAACCGGACGATTCCCGAACGCAGCAGAATGCGCCCCACAGCTCCCATCTCGTCCCACCGACTCCGAGACACTGGGTGTCCCAGACTCGAGAGTCAAGGAGTCACATACAGCTTTGCCTGCACCTTGGGGCCGCGGCCAGGTTCCTGCCGGGGCAGCGCCGACACTGTGACAACAGGCCAGTCTACCTGTGATTGTGAACATGGAGTTTACCTTCCAGACCCCTGAGAGGGCCTCAGGGACCCCAGAGGTCCTCACGTCACAGCCAAGAGCCAGCCCCAAACAGGAAGGAATCTAAATGCTGTTGATAGCGGAACGGATATTTGCGCTGAATTCCGCGGCCAGCACTGCATCACGCGAGTCTGGAGGCAAATCTGAACAGGAGTGTGCGCAAGCAGGCCGGGGTCACGACCCTTGACCTCCCAGGCCGTGGTGGAGGGCATAGGGCTGCTGGACGTGACGGGGGCTGGGCTCTGCCTGGTACCTGTGCCTGGTACAGAACGAGGTCAGCGAGAAGGTGGGAAGGTGTCCAGTCCCGGCTGCACCCACCGTTTGGTGTGTCCGGCTTATCCAGGGAAGCCCCCACCGTCCCAGAGGCAGGTGCGCGCCCCACGGTGGGACGGGGTGTTTCTACGGGGAGGTGAGCCACAGGGAAGGGCCAAGTGGCGGTCTTTGAAAAAGACGAAGCCCCACAGAACACAGGGATAAGCGCATCCCGAGCCGGGGGGGCTGTCCTCCTAAAGTGGGCCATTCATTTTCATATGAACCCTCAGAGGCTCTTCTCAGACTTTCCTGTGGCCAGAACTTAAAGCTGGACCGCCTGTGGGTTCCTGCCTGTAACGAATACAAAATGGTGACGTTCGAACAAGAAGACCGGGCTCCCTGCTGCATGCCACGCCTGGTGCTCGGGGAGGGAGCCCAGGCGGCCCTTTGTCCAGCTGGTCCCCGAGCCCTGGCTGGACATGGCCCACACGGACACGTGGGGCAAGTGCTGAAGGGCAGGGGCACAGCATGGGTCCCCTGGGGCGCCGGCCGGTCACCCCACGTGCCCCGTGCCTGGAGGAGGGTCGGCCCTGCGCCTCTGACTGCGGGACCCTCCTAGGACGCCTGCTCCTCATCTCCACTCGGCAGCTGAGCGCCGCTGCCAGTCCCGGCACAGCTGTGCCCCTCCTCCCTCCGTCTTCTGGGAATCTCAGTAACTGCCAGCGTTTGGCAGCCCAGTATTTGAGCGGCTGCTGCTTGTTGGCCTCCGGAACTCACACATGCACACGGGGACCTGCCGCTCCGGGCGCTCTGAAGCCACTGAGTCGGCCCTCCCCACAGCAGTGCTGTGACCTGGGGACACTGAATTTTACCAGGCAAGAATCCGAGGCGGGGCCTCTGTCCCCACCCTCCCTGGGGGCCTCAGGCAGCACCCCTGCTTCTCCACTCCCACTTTGGTACAGAACCAGACGTGATCGGGCCTGGTTCAGGGGCCCCGCGCCGTCCACCTCTTGAGCCTGGCATCTCCCGCCCATGGCGGCTGGCCCTGCAGACAGTGGGCCTTTGTGCCCTCCTGGCCCTGCTGTTGGCCTCGGGGCCCCCGGTGACACCACCTGCCTGCCCGTCCGCTCAGACCGAGGCCAGCCGCCTGGCCACGGCAAAGGGGCCGCTTGCCCACACCCTGAGGGAAGGAGCTTGTGGGGCAGGGAGGACAGGCGGACGATTGTTAACTTTATCACCGCGCCATTAATTACGGCCGTCAGTCCCCACCGTGTGGAGCTTGGGCTGGGCTGCCATGTCCCGTGTCCCCACCCTGCACAGGGTTTGCTTTCAGATAAGTCTGCGTGCACAGCACTGCATTAATCATCACCCACGCTAGGGCTCAGCGGTCAGGTCCCAGGCAGGCAGCACTCCGGCCATCCTCACAGCGGCCGGGGCAGGGCCTCACCGTGGGGAGGACGCATGTGAGGCCGCCCAGCCCTCCCTCCCTGCCCCGGAGCCCACGCTGGCCTCCCGGGACCCACCGGCACCAGCACTGCCCTGCCTGCTCCCTGGTTCTGGGAGGTGCTGCGCCCCTTCCTGGGTGTGGCTGCGGGGAGGGTCGCTTGTCTATGAGGGGGAGGGTGCTGCCCCCAACAGCCCTGCCCGCTCCAGCCAGGGCCCCTCAGGGGCCAGCTTCTCAGTCCTGTTGAATCAGATGTGGATGCGCCCGCAGCAGGGGGATCTGCCCGAGCAGGGAGGGGCCAGGGCCTCCTGGGACCCGGGGAACCCCTGGTGGGCGCTGGGCTTGAAGGCCCAGTGGGAGATCGGCCCCAGGCCTCCCGGGCTGTTCCCTGTCACTCCCCACCATCCCTGCGACGCCCCGCCAGCTCCTGGCATGGCCGGGCTGAACAGGGCCCAGCGCTCTGTGATCATGGGCCCAGGGTGTGCGAGGAGCAGCTCTTACACACCTGCCTTTCGTGTGCTGTTTCTCACCCGGGACCACACACTAACACTGATCCCGGTCTTGAATTAAGTAAATTCCTCTGGGGGCTGGGGTGGTACGTCGTGGTTTCCAGTGAAAGCATTTGTGTCCGACTGGAGATGGAGGAGGCTGAGAACCATTAACTTAGGTTCTCCGGACCCTGACCGAGCTCTCAAGGCCTGGCCACGCAGAGAGGGAGGAGGGCGCCAAGGCCTCGCCAGCCAGGGCCCAGGATGGAGCAGCCCAGAAAGCCAGTCTCATTTCCTCCACCAGCGGCAACAAGAAAATTTAATAGACAGTAAGGAGCCATGCACAGCAAACACCATGTGGCATTTCAGAATTGACCCCAAATGTGTTAGACAAGGAATGATTTTAGGCCGTACTGAAGGCCACACGAGATGTGCCGGACTCCTACTCAGGGTGCATGCTCAGCACGGCTGGGGGTCTCCCCAAAGCCAGTCCACTCCAAGTTACGTTCCCCTACTGTTGGTTCAGGGCAGTCCCAATCAAAACGCCCACTGGCGGGGGTGGGGGTGGGGGTGGGGGTGGCAGTTTTAAATGGACCAGGCAGGGCCTACTGGGCAGTGCAGAGCCCGGAGGCAGGAGCTCCGGGGAGTTCTGGAGACAGGAGGGAGCCACCCCCTGGCCAAGGAGCTCGAGGGGCCTCAGCCAGACAGCGGCCAGACTCTGTGGACGAATGGGGCGGCCACCTGCTCTCCCATGCTGCCCGGCCAGTAGGTCAGTGGGTCAGTCGGCTCTGCTGGCTCCATCCCCGAGGGGGCCCCAGGCCTCCCCTGGTGGCCAAGCCCCGTCAGTGGGCGGGAAGCGGGAGCCTGTGTGGCCAGGGCAGCGCATCAGGGACAGGCACACGCTCCGCCACAGTGATGACCCAAGACCCTCTGCAGCGGGGGTGCCTGGGTGGGACCGGGGTGTGCCGTCTGTTTGCGCCCAGCTGTCCCGAGTGCTCGGCTGGTTTTCTTTGTGCTTCAGGCCACTTCCAAAAATAAACCCAAGGTTAGTAGAAGACTCCATCCTTGAAGGAAATGGTTAATCCGAAGTGCTGGGCCGGGACCGCCCTCTGACTGTCCTAGGAGCTGCTGTCCGCCCGCCCGTTCTTTCCCTTTTCCCTGGACACTGCTGGCCTTCCTGGGGTGCGTGGGGGAGAGTCCGCTCGGCCCTCCCCTCGGGGGTGGAGGAGGGGCTGCAGCCACTGCGCTGACCGGCGCCTTCCTGCCCCGTCTCCCCAGCTACCCGTACAGCGAGGACTCCAGCCAGGGCAAGCAGTACATGAACACCCGGTGCCCCGCCTGGTGCGACCGCGTCCTCATGTCCCCGTCCGCCAAGGAGCTGATTCTGAGGGTGAGTGTGAGGTGGGGGTGGGGGGTCAGAGCCGCAGGGCTGGGGGTGGGCTGGGGGATTCAAGTTCCTGCCGACCCCAGCATGAGCCCTGCCTCGTCCTGTGGCTGCCGACCCACCGACCGGTACGTCAGGGCGGCCCCCGGCCTGCGGGGCCGTGGGCGAGCCAGGCCTCCAGCACCTTCCCAGCTCAAAATGGGCATGAGCGGCCAGCCGTGCACCAGGAGCCCCCTGATCTGCCACGTCCTCGGGGCCAGTGAGCCCTCGTCTTCGCAAGAGCTTGTTGCTGACGTCTCTGCGTCTCCCAAGCTGTGAGTCAGAGCCAGAGTCGCACTCGGACCCGAGAAGTTAAAGACGAACGGCCCACGGTCCGGGGGCAGCACCGTGTGCTGGGCCAGGTTTCCCAGGGTGTTTCAGTGCCCACATCTCAGCACGAAAGGAGTGCTGGCAGAAGTCAATATCTGCATTGGTCTTGTCCACCCCATCAGTGCAAAAATGTTACAGTGACGTGCATTGACTCACCAGGGCAGCAGTCTGGCCTCTGAGGGACGGGGGCAGCCAGTTAGGGTGGCAGGAGGCCCCCATGGCCCCAGACCGCCCCCTGCCCACCTCAACCCAGCATATTTGAGGCCAGTTGCCACCCTCCATGGCCCCCGCAGCTGCTCCGAGGAGCCCCGTCTGGGCCCCTGGGCCTCACCCAGGACATAGTCGGGAGGGCAGAATGCCCACCGGCTGCCTAGGTGTGCACCCCGTCCCCCGCTCAGCGGCCCCTGCGGCCCCCACTGGGAGGCCTGCTAACTTTTGCAGGAGGGCTGGCCCTCAACACCGCCTGGAGCCACAGCTCCCTGGGCGTTGGGGCAGGGAGCCTGCAGCCATGTGGGGTCTGCAGCAAGCTTGCTCTGGTGGGGCCTGGGGGGCTGGCCTGGGCAGCCTAGGCAGACCCCCGGCCTGTGGGCAGGACCTGCACCTCAGGGCCCATCAGGGAGGACGGCCGCTGGGGCTGCTTCCACAGGCGGCCCTCCTGAAGGAGCTGCGTGGGGCAGGGCCCTGAGCACACAGCCCAGACTTGGGCCTGCCCCTGGTGCCCTGAGGTGAGGGCGAGGGATGAGAGAATGGACAGCGGCTCTGAGCACATGGGGCACATGAGGCCTGTGGCCGGTGTGGGTGCCTCCAGGGGCCTCGGGACGCAGAGAAGAGACCAGAGTCATCTTCCAGAGAGAGAGGTGTCTTGCAGTAAACCCACTAAGACAGCGGGGGTGCCCAGGACTGCGCGTGGGGGCTGCACGAGCCTCCGCCCCAGGCTGCAGACAGTCTAGCGGAAGGTGGCATTTTAGACTGTTTTATGTCATCTCAGTCTGGGGGCCTGAGACTGGCTGCTGCAGACGCTGTGGGGACAGAGCTCGGCTGCTGGCCCGTCTGGGGAAGGCCCAGTGCCTTCCTGGTGGGGAGTCCCGGCAAGCGGGCGTTCCCGGCCCGGTGGCTGCGTGGCTAGCAGTCTCCGTGGCGTCATCCATCATGCCACGCTCGGGCAGCTCGGCCTTGTGTTAGTTCCGCTTCCCAGCCCCGGACACCGGAGGCGGCAGCCGCAGTGACGAGTGCGCAGCGAGGCGTGCGGCGCCGCGGTCATTTGTTTATCTGTCTCGAGATCATACGGTTGGAAACCCACAATCTTATGCTGCCTTTGCAAATTGCCTCGCTCGTTGGATGGATGCACCCGACTCTGCGGAGGCGGCGCTGCGACTGCGGGGACTTGCGGAGGGTGCTGTCTGTATGTTCTGGCAGACGACCATGCTGGAGAGGAAATCTGACCTTCAGCTTCCGACTGCATTACGGATAATTCGGTTTTAACGTTGTAGTCGCAGATGCTTCAGCTGCAGATGTAAAACCCCGGCCCAGTCGGAGCCGTCCGACTGCTGGGAACACACACCCTCTGCGTCGTCCGGAGTTAAGGGTCTGCAGGCTGGTGGAGGTGGGAGGCCGACGGGCACACGGACCACGGGGTGCAGTGGTGTGGAGTTCAGGGGCGTCTGCTCTTGCATGAACAGGGGGCGCTGGGTGAACAGAAGCTGATGTCAGAAGCGAACGTCAGCAGGGAAAGTGGGAACCGGACGAGCGTCTGTGGTGCCGGGGGCTCAGCGGCACATGTGCTCACAGCGGCACCGACTGCGGGGAGCACCGGCCCGGGCCTCCACCGCGTCCGGGGCGCCGAAGGGCCGGAGGGGAGCCTGGAGCTCAGCATAGCCCCTGAGGTCACCGCCTTCCTGAGGCCAGAGCCGCCTCGCCTGCAAGAGCCAGGGTGCAGAGATGCCGCCCGGACCGCCGGGACCTCGGGCCGCCGCCAGCCGCCCCTCCGAGGGGCCTCAGAAATGGGCAGAGTGGGCGGCGGGCGACTGCTCCCCATTCCCACCTCTCACACCTCTTCCTGTGCTTGCTTTTCTCAGTCGGAGAGCGAGGAGAAGGTTGTCACCTACGACCACATCGGGCCCAGCGTCTGCATGGGAGACCACAAGGTGACATCACCTCGCTGGGGCCCAGGGTGGGCGGTGGCGGCTTGTCCTGCCGCCTCCTTAGCCTGGCCTCACAGAGGAGGTGAAATTGGTCTGTTTTTATTTGATTTTAATAAAATGCCAGAAGGAGTTGGGTAGACAAGCAGACAGTAAGGCAGACAAGACTAGTCACAAGAGAACACGGTGCAGTTTTACTATTTGTAAAAAATGCTGGTGGTTTCCGGAGTCCGTTTCCCAGGTGTGCATTGGAAGTATTTTAATGGCCTCTGAGGTGGGGCAGCTGCCACCATGGGGCGAGCGGGAGGCGTGCGTGCTACCAGCCCAGCGCTTCGGGAGGCAGTGATTGTTCCAGTACTAAGTTCTCCGTGTGACCATGCCTGGCCCCCGAGGGGCCCCATGGGGACAGGTCCTGGGTCACTGGCAGGCAAAGGCGATGCACTGGTCCCCCATCTTCAAGACCTCTGGGCCCCGCCCACACTGCCCCATCCCAGGAGAAGCTCTGTCTTTCCGGGGCTATTTGGCCGGAATCAGCAGTTCTTAAATGAGCTTTTACATTAGTTTTCCCTCTGGGAATAATGCCCTCTCTACAGACCACGAAGGCCCTCTGCCTCGAGCCTCTGGCTGCCCAGTCCGGGCAGCTCCACACGGGCGGGGTCCAGAATGGGTACCCAGCCGGGAGCGTGGGGTCCGGGGTTCTGACGACTTCTCTTCTGCCCCTGCAGCCCGTGTTCCTGGCCTTCCGCATCGCGCCCGGGGCAGGTAAACCTCACGCACGTGTGCACAAGTGCTGTGTCGTGCAGTGACGTGGTGGTAAATATTCCTCCTTCCCTCGTGTTCACCTTTCCTGAGTTTCTCCTGGTGTGTGCGCGCCTTTAACCAACGGCCGACTCCACGCAGGGACGCGGTGTCAGCGCCACGAGAGGACCCTTGGCGAGCCCTCCCTGTAGCACAAGGCGCAGACGAAGTCGCAGCCCATGAAATACGTACTCGTGATAGCTGCACCCACAACCGCCCGAGCGCCACCCGCTAGGCAGATGGCCGGCCCTGCACTTCGCTTCAGCCTCCGGACGGCGGCTCCGGAAAAGCCTCACATACCTCACTGTCTCGTCTGTTCATGTGACATTAAGTAGAAATACTGGGTTTTTTTAAAAAGAAAAAAGTCACAGCCCTGTTGCCAAAACTCTGTAATAGACAGCAAAGAGATTCTGTATTTTAGACTTCACGGTTTTC